AAAGGAGAAATTAGAGTTTATAGTATTGATAAATCACTTTAATTAGTAATTAATTTTTATTTTTATCAATGAAAATAATCTTATGAATTCTCAATTATATCTTCATCAATCTCACATGTAAAGGGTTGATCATGAACCAAGAATTTCAAAAGAAGGAAGTTGATTTCTAGAGAGAGAATTAAAAAAAAAAAAGGAAAATTTAAGGTTTTTTTCTTTTTTTGCGCTGAGAGAGTGACATGGAGGGCCATGTAAGCTCCTTTACACCATGAAATATCCCATGTTAGATGTTTCTGTTACTTAACATGACAAGTTAACAAAAATTTAACGAAAGCACCAAAAAGAGGTTGGATTTTAAACTTTAAAAACAAAAAATGGGATTTTTCAGTACAAGGATAAAAAAAATAACTTTTTTTAATAGTAAATGGACCAAAAAAGATATTTAACTTTAAATTGTTCAAGTGCATTTAGTGAATCTTATTTATATATTATTTTATTAAAAATATTTAAAAATTTTCATTATTAATCTTAAAATTTTAATTATGACTAATTTTTCTCAAATCCAAATGAAAAGAAAAAAAATGATGGAAGGAGAGTGATTGAAATATCAAAATTTCTATTCCACAGCCCGTTTATCCTTCTTTTTAATCCTTCGTTTAAATTATCACAGAATTCTCATAAACCAAACATCTTCCCCTCGGCAGCCCGTGTCTCTTTTTCCTCTTAAAAAAAATGCATCAACCCAGAGAAAGATGCAAGATGATCATATTGTTGTGGGCGATCATATGGGTGTTTTTGTTAATGGGAGAGGGAGCTAATTCAGATCCGCAGCTAAATCTGCTCAACTCAGTCTGCAGTCAATACAACGTCACCAACGTCCAGGACTTCCACACAAACCTCAACGCTACGTTCCTCAAACTCAGGGAGGAGCTCGTAGGCGGCAACAACTTCGCCACGGCAGACGAAGCTCCCGGTTCCAGCCCCACCTACGCCATGGTGCAGTGCAGAAACTACCTCTCCCCTTCCGACTGCGTGGCTTGTTTTGATGCTGCTTCGACTAACAGCCGGAACTGCTCTGCCGCCAATGGGGCCCGTGTCATCTACGACGGCTGCTTCCTCAGGTACCGACAAGAACTTAATGGAATCTGTTAAGAATTTGAATAATCTGTATAAGATTCATGTAGTCGCGGAGTCAAGAATTTGAATTAGGGGGCTAGGTGTCAAACTCGAAATGGAATGTGTTAGCTAGGGAAAAATTAAATTTTTAATTGTGGGTTTTTAATTCAGATTAATTGAGATTGTAAGATGTAACATCACAAACGAAATTAGTAGAAAACAAGATTTAAAGAATGTTTAATTTAGAGAGTGTTTAACTTAAAACTAATTGATAATTCATCCACCTTACTCATATGAAATTTTCTCAATTAACAGGTATGAGAGCAATAATTTCTACGATCAGAGCACAGACGAAGGGCATTCCATGATTTGTGGGAACGAGACTGCATTGGAACCGACAGCCTTCAACGCAGCGGTGGGGGGTCTTTTGAATGGCCTTCGAGTGGCAACACCCCGTAGCAATGGCTACTACGTCGCCAGTAAGAAGGAAGTGATCAGTGGGAACATAACGGTGTACGGTGTGGCACAGTGCATAGAAACCATCGGCAAAGGTAGCTGCCGGGATTGCATGGCCGTGGTGTATAGGGACCTTCAACGATGCCCTCCTATGACGCACGGGCGAGCGATGGATGCGGGATGTTTTTTGAGGTATTCGGAATCTCCTTTCTTTGCAGATAATCAAACTACTAGCAGTTTCCTCTTCCTCAAGAACGGTGAGCCCGACCCCTAATTAATTTTCTCCATTTCTCTGCAACTTTCAATGTCTAGAACGTTATTTAATCTTTCAATTAATTTTGAATGTGATATTTACAGAAAGTTCCAGCAAGAAACATGCTCTGATCGGAGGACTGTTTGGGGGCATTGGGTTCCTACTACTTGTTTTAGCCGTATGTATCTGGTTTAGATCATCAAGGAGAAAGAAAATGGCACCAAGAGGTAAAAGAAAGCTCGCTAGTTCTCTGCTTTTCAATTTTAGGCAATCTAACTCAAATTTGTTCCAAACATGAGAGAATTATCTATTGTAGACTTTTCTCTATAAAGATGACCCTGTCTTTCTATTACCCCATAATATTTTGGCAGTTCTGTTTAGAAATTTTGGAGAGTCATTTGGATTTTGAAAGATACATTTGCATTTGTTTGGGTTACAGGTGACATAATAGAGGCAACAGAGCTACAGGGTCCCGCTAATTACAGCTACAGAGATCTGAATTCAGCAACTCACAACTTCAGTCTGGAAAATAAATTGGGAGAGGGAGGATTCGGTGATGTATACAAGGTGGGTGAGTTATATCTAGTAGAGAATGCGATTTTTAGTTAGAATTACACAAAAAAAGGTACAATTTAAATGATGAAAGTGCTAAAATATCTAATAAATTTTGATGTTTAGATTGAAAAAGAAATTTTGACATCAATGTGTGCTTTTCAATCTAGACTCTACTCAATGTTTGTTCGTTAAATCAAGAGTTATTCGGTAGTTGGAGTATTTGGTAATAATTTGTTATCTAATAATTTATGTTGTGTAATTTAAGTACACTTGAAAATAAAATACTTTTTATATTATAATATCTAATAGTTTATATAGTGTTACTTATTATTTATATTATGTAGTGTAATACACTTCAGAATACACAATTCTTTTTTTGTTGGGAGAAATCATTTTTTATACTGTTATCAAAAAAATTCTGTTTAAAAATGGGCAGGGAGTTCTCAAGAACGGAAATGAAGTGGCGGTGAAGAAGTTAGCATTTGTACAATCCCTGAGAGCAAAAGCAGATTTCGAAAGCGAAGTAAGGATCATTAGCAATGTTCAACACCGGAATCTCCTCCGCCTTCTCGGATGTTGCAGCAAAGGTGCGGAACTTCTTCTTGTCTACGAATTCATGCCCAACAGCAGCCTCGACAAATTTTTGTTCGGTAATGGCGCTTAATCTCTCTTCCTCATCATCTCATTCTCAAATTCTCTTCTAATTTATTTCTGTTAATGGAAACCAAACAGGTGAAAAGAAAGGATCTCTCAACTGGAAGCAGCGATTTGATATAATCCTCGGAACAGCGAGAGGCCTCGCCTATCTTCACGAGGAATTCCACCTCCGCATCATTCATCGCGATATTAAGCCTAGCAATATTCTGCTGGATCATGATTTCCAGCCTAAAATTGCAGATTTTGGTTTGGCAAGGCTTTTTCCTCAAGATCGGACCCATCTCAGTACCCGATTTGCGGGAACACCGTGAGTTATCAGTTTGCAATCAAACTATAACCGTAGCCCCCAGGATTGGAGGCCTTCAGCAATGTAACAATTTATTTGTTTTTCGGTTTTTGGATTATTCTTCAGGGGATATACAGCACCGGAATACGCAATTCACCAGTGGCGGAGCCAGGGGGTGCGAGGGGCGGCGCTCGCCCCCCCTGAAATTTGAGAATCTTGCAAATTAGCATAAGAAAAATTATCTATCCCCCCCTGAACTTTGAAAATTTTGGTATTTTGCCCCCCCTGAAAAAAATTTCTGCCTCCGCCCCTGCAATTTACGGACTATTATCTGAGAAGGTTGATACTTACAGCTATGGCGTCGTTGTTCTTGAAATAATTAGTGGCCGGAGAAGCAGCGAGACTAAGCCTGACTCCGACCACGAATACCTACTCAAACAGGTGAACCTTCAATCTTCCTTCGATTCAAATTCTTAAAATTTATTTGGAGATTTGCTGAGTTTTTAGTTTAATTTACAGGCGTGGGGATTATACGAGAATAACAGACACGAAGAACTGGTGGATGAGACATTAGACAGGACAGAATATGAAACAGAAGATGTCAGGAAATTCATAGAAATTGCTTTGATGTGTATTCAGGCATCGGCGGCATCCAGGCCGACCATGTCTGAGGTAGTCCTTTTGATGAGAAGCAAAGGACCCCTTGATCGTCGGCCAAGCAGCAAGCCCATCTTCGTGGAATTAGATAACAGCACATCCATCTTCACAGACTCTGCGTCGAATGCCACAGCCTCCATCAGTCGTCTCTCCGGTCGCTAACTCTTCTTACCTATATTAGACGCCGTGTCCAATGGAGATTTTATTCCATGGAATGGTTTTTTTTAAAGGAAATTATTGATATACTGTGCAGTTCAATACACTTATTAACATTTATCATTCAGTTATTAAAATGTGCAATAAAAAATTTTCATATCTTAAATTTAAATTTAAAAATAATAATTTCTTATAATGTGTTATAAAGTATATTACATTAAAAAATATACTAATTATTGTCATTTTTTTATCACAAACATTTTCCTAGAGCTTGAATTAGAGGGTTTTTATTGTAATTTTAAATGAAAACACTATAGTTGCGATGTTACAATATCATATGGTATTGTAAATTTATAATATGATATGTTTTTATATAATTAGTTTTTTTTTATTCAAAAGTTCACCTATAATTTTGTATGCATCTCTTATTTAATATCACGTAAGATTGTGTAGCATTATAATTATAATATTACTAAATTTTAAATTGTTTCAATAATCAATTCCTTTAACCATAGAGTTTTTTGTTTTGAAAAAAAATTTTAGAAACATTGTATTATCTAAAACTTAAAAAGAGTACCCCTTTCGCCTCATAATAATAGAATTTTTTGATTTAAAATTTGTCCATACTAATGTAATAGTGCTTTTTCATATTCTAAAGTATAAAAAAAATTTTCCCTTATTCATCCTTATCATTATCACCAGACTTTAATTATCCATTTTATTTATCAATCCTATTATTTAAAAATAAAAATGTTATGATTATAATAGCACATGACATAAGTTTTGTTTGACAATATTTCTGGGTACTTTATCTTTTGATTTTTATATTTTTTTATTATTTTAAAAATATATAAAATATTAATTAAAATATGAGTTTTTAGACAAGTTGTGC